AAATTTGTTTGATACAGATCTGTTGAGCTTGGACTTTATACTGACTTGGGCGTCGGAGCGGCTTACCTCGTTACAGGTACTCCAGGAATCGCTCTAAGTGCTGCCGACCGACCTACCAGGTCGTGATCCATACCCTGGCAGATTTTTGCGTCAACAGTTACCTTTGTCACCGTGGTATTGGGTATGAAAATAAAAGTTTAGAGACAACGAAGGGATAAATTTTTTAGAGAAAATTTTAGGGAGAGTAAATTTGGAGAGAAAAGAATAGAAAGAGAAAGTTAATGAGTGTGAGATATGTTAGAGAGAATATTTGTTACAGAAAGATAATGAAATGTTAGAGAGAGAAAAGTGAGAAAAATGAGAAATTTTTGTGATAGGAAAGTTACAGACCGAAAATAAATTTAAGAGAGAGTCAGGCTGAAAGCAAAATACGTATTAGAGAAATAAAGAAAAATTAGAAACAAAAATTATAATGAAAAACAATTAGATAGAGAAAAGTTAAATATATTATTTATTAGAGAAGAAAATAAATTAGAAAGAGAAGAAAATGGTATACTGTGAGAAAATTGAAAGAGGAAAAGATTTAGACCAATAGAGTCTAGAGATGTATTTTTTAGGGAAAGATACATTAAAAAGAGCAAAAAAAGTTACGGATTGGAAAAATAGTAGAAAAATAAAAATGCAAGTGAAAACATGTTTCGTCACCTAAATTTATACTCCTCAATTTTGTAAGGTTATGTCAATTAAAAATTTAAACTAATAATTGCATCAATTAGAACCTTAAAGATTGTTTTCAATCAATTAGAAGATGGTTATTTAAATTTAGGATTACCTATCATTTTATATTTTACAAGGGAAAGATACAGTGATAAAAATGAAAATTTGAAAGATTTGGACCAAATTGAGAGGAAAAAAAAACATTATTTGATATATTTTAACTAAAATATAAAGTGGTAGGCTTCATCCTAAATTAAACTAATGGTCCTCTATTTATTTATTGGAGCATATAAATTAGCTAACTTAAACAAAGTTAAGGCTATAATGGATGAAAAATTACTAACTTAAGATTTTAATAAACTGAACCCCGTGAAGTTGCAAGGGTACACATTGACATATTTCTCCATTTATTTTTAATATTAATCAGAGTTCTATTTAAATAATTAAATTATAGCATTTTTCTTTTATAATTACTATTAATGCTCATTCCTGTTTTATGCTTCTGTCTCTGGTTGCATATTTCCAAGAGCAGTGGGATAAATGATTATTGTGAGCTTCACTTCACGTCTTTCTACTCTCACTTTTGTTTAAGAATCAGTGCCATTCCTCAATACGCAACACACAACTCTCTCTGCCATTAATACCAACTCAGGCGCAGTCGCTGCTCATCAAAGTACGATAAATTCCAAGAAAATATTCTCCCCTTTTCCATGCTTGCTTTGGAAACTAACAAAATACCAAATCCAATCTTATTTTTATTTCTTTAAATTTCTAAACCTTCTCTAAGGAGTAACTAGTAAGGACTACTTTTGATTTTTTATTAGAATCTGTGTCGTATGCCAATTTTAAGGTTAAAATTATAAGCCGAGCATACGGGCAAAATGATCAACTGCTCCTAACGATTCCGTATAGTGGACAACAAGTAGGCAAGATACGAATTAACACCTGTATACCTAAATCGCTGTGCCCTACTAAGGACCATGCAAGACGTTGCAAGCCCTACATTTATGCAGAGCAGTGGGGAACAAAGGATGTCGATGGTCCTTGCAAACCCTCTCGGTGTGATATACCTTTCCTCTGCAGACACCCTCTCCGTCTCATATAAAAATAAAGAGGCAACTCTAATGAAAGTAAGCCGCATTTTCTTTCACAATCTCCATGAGAAGTCAGCATACACAATTCAAGCAGGCTCTCACCTTCGAGGTACTACTTTCTCTTTCTGCTCCATACTTGTTGTCCCCAGTTGAGTTCTAACTTAAGTATCAAAATACATTCAACAGAGCACCCACACGGATGTAGAATATCTACACTCATATAGCAAAGAGCATCGAAGACGAACATGTATGTGGCACTCAATTGGCAGCTACATGTACCTCACTCATAAATCCTAAAGTCGAAGTTAATGACCCATTATCCTTCAATATCTCCAGATTCTCTCGTAGTTATGGGTGGTTGTATTTTTTAAATCAATTTTTATGTTCATGGTTAAAGACATAGATTAAAATGTTGGATATAGCGATGTATTCCAGAACTTCTTTTCTACAAATTGGATCTACAGAAATCTGATTGGTAACAAAAATCTGATTTCGATTTCTAAACTTTAAAAATAAACTTTTATTTTAGTTCCAAGCTAAAACATTCCAAACTTCTTCCGTAAACTTCCAAATTGTTTTACATTTCAATAACTTTCAAATTGTCTATTTTAATCCTATTTTTTTAAAAAATAATTATTTCATGCCTATCTTTATTTTATTTTTGATAAAGGGATGACAGAAATTTTGAGTACATGTGTTTGGGCATGTGTACTTGAACCACCCAATAGATAAATGATGTGAGTTTTGGATGAGGAATCTAAGGTCGCAAAATAATATTACTTTTTCAAACTTATTGATTTAATAAAGTAAAGATGAAAATCAAGAAAACAAATAGGATCAGATTTAATTAAAAAAAAAAACTAAAAGAGAAATAATAAAAAGAAAAAGATTTTTACACGGGGTTTAAAAGGAAAAGAGTACAACAATAAAATAAAAAGACACAAATATGATATTAAAAGAGAGCATTAATATAAGTTCTCGTACGTGTCTGATATAATCGCACGGATGATCTCTTGAGAGTTTCTTTCCTTTTCCACGGAGAGAAAAAAAAAAAGCAAAATCGTAACTAGACCTTGAAAAGCCAAACCCTAAACATATCAACAAAAAAGAAAAAGAAAAAGAAAAGAGGAGGGTGATGGGTGGAAATGAATTAAGGAGAGGTTAATTTTGTGGCGGTGTGTGGAGAAGGCGCCTCCTCTTGGATCTGTCGGAAGAAGAATTGGAGCGTTCGAGGAGAGACTTCAAGGCGTTGTGGAGGAAATGGAGGGACTCGATGCTGTGATCTTGGGCGGCGGCGATGAGGAGGACGTTGCGGATTCTACCGCCGACGGTGACGATGTCGGCCCTCAGAGTCTTCAGATGGAGGGAATTGAGGATGTCGTTGAGGTCCGGGATGAGGTCGGAGCGGTCCTCGCAGCACAGCGACGCTTTGAACACCAGCCGTCCGTCGTCCGATTCCTCGCCGGAGAGCACGCTGATCTCGTCTGTCTCCGACGGCAGCGTCTCCACCTCCGCCATCTCTGCCGTCTGCTGCTTCAGCTCTTTCACTCGTTCGACCACTTTTGCAAGAAGTGAAGCTTTGTCCGTCTAATACACAAAGATTATTACTATTATTCATACATTTATTTAAATTTACCCACATGACTTCATATATGAATGGGAGATGTCCTCTATGTTTTTATTCAACATAAATATTTAGGTGCTGGTTAATTACTACACAGACTACAATTTAATTAATTAATTAAATTAATTATTATTTTTTTTTGAAAGAGACTACAATTTAATTTTTGACAAATAAAAGAAAGATGTAAAAACAGAATTATTTAAAAAAAAACAAATAATGAGCCGTAAACTGAAGTGAAAAATACTTGTGCTAATTGGTGCGGTGACCAATTTTTAACAAATCAATACAAAGTAAAAAGGAGTCTTCTTGGCTGGCTGCCTCTCAAATTACTTCTCTTTTTTCTTACTTAGGGTGTGTTTGAGAATGATAATAAAATTAGTAATTTTGAAAAAATAAATTTAAGTATAATTGATTTTTTTTAAAATCACCATCCAGGTGATACTTTACAAATCATTCTAAAGTGATTTTAAACTTTCCTAAAATCAATTTTTAATTTGTCAAACATGATGAATGGAAATTGAAGTGATTTTGACAATGACAAAAGTGTGTTTGACTGTGCCAAAATCACTCCCAAACACACCCTTATTTTGTTTTAATTAAGATGCTACATTTTTTGTCCCATTTCTCATGACATTGTTTATTTTTTTGTTCTGTTATTTAAACAGTATATGTTGATTCACCGAAACTTAAAAAAAAAAACTAATTTCAAAATATATTTTTTGAAATCATTGTTAAATTAAAAAAATCTAAATATGTAGTTTTTGAAATTTATGTTTATTATTTAAATGTGTCTAAGATTTCAAAAAATGTTTTTAAATTTTGAAAGAAAAAATAATTGAAGAAAAGATAAAACTCAAGTGATTTTCGTAAGCTTTATTTTTAAAAGTGAAAAAAGAAAACAAAATTATAATGAAATGGGCCTTAGTATTTGAGTTTTGCATAAAAATATTGTTTTTTCTAACCTTTTTAAAATTTTTGTCATATATTTAACAAGAATATTATATTTATATCGTCACGTAAATTAATGTTTTAAGCAATATGTATTTACTTTTCAAGATATAATTTTTCGAAATAATATATTGCCTAAAATTTATGGTAAATACAAACAAAAATTAAATAATAAAGACCAAACGTAAACATGTACAAAAGTTCAGAGTCAAAATAGAACCTGACAAACGTATAAATAGCGAAAAAATATAATTTAAACCATATAAACTTAAAATCAGGTTTCTATTATATATTAATTTAATAATCAAAGAAAATTTACCTTAATTAAGAGGAAAAGATCTTTGTAAAGCCAGGAGATACATTTACATATTCTCACAATTAACATTTTGAAACATGATATATCTGTGTCAAATTATGAATTATTAGGTTGAAAAGCTTGGGAACTTTCCCAAATTATAAAAGAAAAAAGAAAAAACCCTTGAAATCTAAACGAAGGGCAGGTGAGAAAAAAAGTGTTGTATTTTACGACTTTTTGCAGTTTGAACAAACAAACACTGTCTACAAAGTGAACAAGATCTGTGGTGTGGTGGCAGAATATCTTAAAGAGTTGGAGTTCACAAAAGATTCTTAAAAGGGCGCATTACAAATCTATCATTGTTCCTTTGACTACGTGTATTTTGTTCGGTTTCTTCTCTTTCTTTGGTTTTTCTTCCTACTAAAACAAAAAACAAATAAAACAAAAAAAGATTTCCAAAAAGACATTTGAATTTTGACCGCCTGATTTCTTTGAAAAACATTTTCGTACCACGTTTTCCTCTCGTGTTTTCTCAGTAACCAAACACTCTGAAGAATTTTAAGGTTTATTGATCTAAAACATCGGTCCTATGGTGGAATTTGTAAAATCAACTTCTCTTTTTTTCCTTTTTCTTTTTTTCAGTTCAAATTTTGGGAGTTTACAGTGTCGTTATTGGTTCGTATATAGTATCATGAAGTTAATATTGCATTCAGAAAACAAGAATACTCACCTGGTAATAAGAAAGAAAAACAAAAAAAAAAAAACAACGACAACAAAGCACAAAAATGGCCTTGTTCAGAAATCAGAATTGTTTTTTCTTTTTAGATAATATACGTTGCAAAAAAGAAAATTTGTGTTAAAAAAAAATATAGTTGCCATATCAGCAAAGGAAGTGTTTTTAATTTGTTTTTGTTCCTAAAGATGAGATATGTGATAGAATAGAAATTAATTACCTTAGAATTACAAGGAAGAAGAGCCCGAAGCTTATCAAGATGAGAGTTGATTCTCTCTCGCCGCCGCTTCTCAGCTTCCTTATGATTCTTGAGGGCGGCGAGGGCTCTGTCGTGGGGTGACGGCGGCGGTGGCTCCATGGCTGCCGCCGGTGACTCCAAAGGGTAGTAAGAGGAGGAGCTGGAGAAGCTTTGGGCGGCCGGAAAGCCGCCGCAGGAGGCTGAGCCCAGGTTGAAGGCTCCGTTCTGGGCCAGGAATCTGTACAGCTCAGAGCTTTGATCCGGCTGCATGATTATGTTTTTCGTCACAATTTTTCTCTCTCTCTTTTTTTTTAAACTGAAAAATGCTAAAGTGAAACTGCGTTTGGGGGAAGCTTTCGGTGGGTTTTTATAATTTATTTTCCTTTTTCTTTTTTCTATTTTTTTTTCTCACTCTCCCTTTTTGTCTTTGGCTCGTATCCGACAACTGCAGTTGGCCTGTAAATATTAATGTCTTTATGCGGATGTGTATCCAAAGAAGTGGTGGCTTTTACTTGTGAGTTCTTGATTCATATACTAGGGACTATCTTTTTACGAAATACGAAGGGGAAATTTCAACTACATATATATAATTATAAACCAAGTACTACATTTTATTAATCACAAATCAATTACGCAACTGGTTATTATTTGAGAAAAGTATATTAATAGCTTTCAGTGGCACATCCAGAGTTTTATTTCATTGGGGGCAAAATATCATATAAAGATAATGGGAAAGAATTATCCTTAAAGTTTGGTAATATATATAAATTTTTACTCTAAACGTTCAATTTTATCGAATTACACATTAAATATTTAGTGTTGCAAATTTTACCTCTATAGATTTTAATAAAAATGGTTGCAAAAGTTATTCTTATGTGTGTCAACTTAATTATAAAACATATTTTGTATGAAAGTGGTAGGATTCAGACAAGAAACGACAATAGATTTGGTTTTTTTATTGTTAATTTGAAACTTATTTTGTATGAAAGTGGTAGGATTCCAAGAAACGACAATAGATTTGGTTTTTTTATTGTTAATTTGTTAGTTTCAACGGAATTATTTTATAGTCGATTTTGTACATTAATCAAATTTAATTGGGAAAAGCTGGATCTTCTATTAAATTAGTGTGTGTTTTTTTTTAATTTCATATTACTTTTTTTTTTAAATTAATGGATGACTTAGTGAAAATTAATACACAGTAAAAATGGAATAAGATAAGTATAATATTAGATTTGATGAAATTGAAAGGTTACGATACAACTTATCTAGTTTAGCAGTAAAAAATATATTTCTTACATATAATTTTAGATTTATTACATATGTACCAAACTATACACTTCCACCAAGTAACGACTCTGTGTGTATGTAAGAGTATGTGAACAATGCGCATACCTTCGTTATAGGGACATATAAAAGGCCAAAATGCCACCGACTCCTGCATCAGTGCGCTGGTAATTATGCTCATCGTGATATGTGGCATTTGACTTGGACTACGATAATTTCTTACCTTTGGAGGGAGCAGAACTCTAGGGTTCATGGTGGTGGTGAGAGTCGTTCTCCTATCACTCTTCTTAAGACTATTAAGACTGAGGTTTATTGTCGTTACACTACTTGGCCTGGGAATTATTGTGTGAGCTCTAAGTCCATGCTTATTTTAGCTTGGGATTTGTTTTATTGATGGTTTTGTTTTGCTCTTATATGGTGACCTTGTATCTTTTCTGGTTCTTTGTTTTGTTCTAGGTTTGGGTTTTGTTTTCCTTTATTGGGTTATGCCATGATATCGGGCTTTGAGATCCTCTATTCTTTTGTTTTTTAATATATTACATTTACAAAATATTATATATATTGAAAACGAAACTATATAATAAATCAATTATGTATGATATTAGTTTGTTATAAACACTAAATTCTTGTTAAACATATATAAAAAATTTTAACTTTATCTATACATAATTTGATATTATTTTGTTTAAAATAAAGTGGGATTGAATTATCTATATAAATATAGAAACAAGATATTAAAATTTAAAATATATTTAGTAAAAAAATTTCCAGTTGTTGATGCAGAAATCTGACCTCTTGGGAGTCCGCCAAATTTGCACCAATTGTTAATAGTGAAATTGGGAACAGACGTCAACCTGCAAACGAGATAACACTGAATATCGGTGTGACGCTAGCCACACAAGCTTCGATGCTTAAGTTAGAATCACAATAGTCGAATAAGAAGAATATGGTATTTCTAGTAGTGTACCTCAATTATGAGTATTTTCCTTCTCTTTATAGAAGGAAAAACCTAGGGTCACTAGGATATCTTATATGAATCTAGGGAAAATCCTAAGGCAATCAAGATATCTTCTCCTTTTGAATATAGGATGTCTTGTAACGAGCCAGAATTTTCCGTACACCTCTAGGTCACATTCACTACCCAACTAATCAAAGTTAACTCCGGCTATATCCTGCCAACTTCCTATACGCATAAACTCATAAAAAAAGAATCAAGTTCCAATCCTCATCAAATTAACGATAAACCAATCTCATGGAATAACATTCAGCAACGTTCGTGAACCACTCCACGAGGCAAGTTTATTATTTAATCTATATGAAAACAAATGGAATAAAACTCAAATAGGCTCCTAACCCGAAGGAAAACTAACAACAAGAAGAACAAATCTCTCAATTATTCAAATGCAAATAAACCGTTTGTTGACCACAACATAAGGCTCTAACCAACGAATTAAACTAAACAGGAAAACTAAGTAGCCTATGGTCCTCGCACGTCAGGTCTCCTCCGTCCCATCACCG